AGGCGGACGGCATTGTCCTGGATTGTTTTGCTGCGTGGTGTGGTTGAATTGGAAGCTGGGATTCGCCAAAGAAATGGGCAGACCGAGATGGCATGCTCTCTGGCTACACACATGGTGTGAAAACAACTAATGTGTGTTAACAAAATGGATTCACTGAGCCCACCCCCTACAGCCAGAAGAGATAACGACGAAATTGTTAGGAGAGTCAGCCCTCACAGGTTAAAAAGAAAATTGGGCTAACAACCCGACACAGTAGACATTTGTGCCAATTTCTGTTGAATGGTGAACAACATGGGGCAGGGGAAGGCCAAGCGTAGCATGCCTTGGTTCCAAGGATGGAAGGTCACCCGTAAGGGATGCAATGCCAGTGGGAACCACGCGCCTGGGCTCTGACTGCATCCTACCAGCCAACTCGGGTCCAACTGACAAAGGGCCCTTCGCCTGCTCTCCAGGATGTCTACAAAATTGGGTGGTATTGGTACCTGTTCCTGTTGCAGTGGAGACTGGTGTGTTCTCAAACCGTATGGTGGTCACCTTGCTCCAGTCAACGTTACAACTGGAGTAAAATCTGTCGAAATGCACCATGAAGCTTTGAGTGAAGCTCTTCCTGGGGACAATGTGGGCTTCAATGTCATAGAATGTATCTGTCAAGGATGTTCGTCGTGGCAACGTTGCTGTGTGACAGCAAAAACGACCCACCAATGGAAGCAGGCTGGTTCACTTGCTCAGGTGATTATCCTGAACCATCCAGGCCAAATAAGTCTGGCTATGCAGCCCCTGTGTTGGATTGCCACACCGGTCACATTGGCATGCAAGGTTGCTGAGCTGAAGGAAAAGATTGACGCCGTCTGGTAAAAACTGGAAGATGGCCTAATTTGCGTGTGGCAGTTTTAAGTTATTAGTTTTTAAAATCAGTACTTTTTAATGGAAACAACTTGACCAAAAATTTGTCACAGAATTTTGAGACCCATTAAAAAAGTTTAATGAGAAAAAAAAAAAAAGAATAAAATTAAAATGTTGAAACTAGTAACAAATATAAGCTTCATAAATGTCAAAAATTATTTAAAAATTTTTCCAAGATGGTGGATTCTCTCATCCAGATGCCTGGAAATCTGCCTATGTGAGAGGATTTTAGCATGCCTCAGCCACTTGGAAATAGCAAAATAGTGCATAAAGATGAACTCTGTGAGCTTTAATTCAAGAAAGAAAATGGAAATCCACCAGAAATATATAGACACCCCAAATCCAAGGGAGGAGAATATAAACAAACAGGCCACCATGGCAGCATTTGGTTGATAAAAGTGAGTGAAGTCCCAGCATGTGAGAGAGGGAGGGAGTCTCCCTCTGTGACAGACCTTTCCACTGGGGGTCCAGGCAACCCCGGCCGAGGGAGTACACTTTGTTTTTCCCAAGCCCTAGAGCTAACTTAGGGAGAGGCTTGAAGATACTGTGAGGGAAAAACACTGGGAAAAGCTGCAGATGTTTTCCCAGACCAAGAGCAGGAGGCCATTTTTAATCCAAGTACATACAAAGTCAGTCATTCTGTGGTAACCTGGCAGTGTAACCACAAAGTCATTTTAGTCTCAGCCCAGAGATTGTAGTGCCTTCTCTGGAGCAGCCAGAACTGTGAAAAATGTCTCAGCAGTAGGGCTAGAATTGTGCTCTCCCCCATTGCAAGCCAGGGGCAGGAGAAGTACTCCTACAACTGCAGTTTCTCCTAGACAATGAGATGTGCTGCCAAGTCCAACTTGGCAACCTGGAACCAATCTGCATGTGTCATTGCTGAGTGCCCCAGCCTGTTCCCCTGAGATCATGGTGCAGTAGGGCCCTCTCCGCTCCACTCCTAGGCAGAACTCCAGGCATTTGGAGCATCTGCTTGCCTGGACCAGCAGCCTAAGCCACCCCACCCTTCGTGGATATAGATCATGGTGTAGTGGGGCTCTGCTCTATGCCCAGGCAGATCTCCAAGTATTCAGAGCCCCTCCTCGCCTAGATCAGCAGCCTGAGCACCCCACCCTTCCTATGCGTAGATTGTGGTGCAGTGGGGCTATCTCTGCTCCACACACAGGCAGTACGCAGATCTCCAGGCCTTTGGAGCACTCCCTCACATGAACTAGTAGTCTGAGTTGCCCACCTTCCCTATGCAGAGATGCTGTGCAAGGGGGCCCTCTCCACTCCATGCCCAAGCAGATCTCCAGACATTTGGAGCACGCACTTGCCTGAATCAGCAGCCTGAACTGCCCTACCCTTCCTGTGTAGAGATCATGGTATAGGGAGGCATTCTCTGCTCCATATACAGGCAGATCTTTGAGCATATAGAGCATTCACTCTCCTGGATTAGAAGTTTAGGCCACCCCCCTGCCCCCACTCCCCACTCCATCACCTTGCAGAGAACTTAAGGCCAAGGAGGCCTCTCAGCTCCATGCCTAGGCACATGTCTGGGCATTTGGTGGCCGCCCACTGGATTCTCCCTTGGTGCTGGTGCTTGTGCCTGCTGTTGGGGGAAGTGTAGGCAAACCTGCCCAGTCCTGCCCTGCCCATCTTGCCAACTACTCCATCGGGGCTGAGAAGGTAGCTCAGACCACTATGTACTCCATGAATTAGACTGCTGTCTGAGGCAGCAAAGAGTTTCTCCTAGTGAACAAGGATCAAATATATACCAAGCCACAAAGGCCACAGCCAGCACTTACTCATCTGCGCCATCTACTGGCTGGTAGGTCAAACTGCACAGCCCAATATAAAACCTGACAACCAAAGTGCACAGGGCTATAGAAGTAAAGCCAAAAGACCCTACCCGGCATTCTCTACAGTCACACCCCCTAGGAAGGGAAAGGGAAAGGGAGAGGGAAAGAGAATGAGACAAAAAGAAAGAACAAAAATATATATGGAAAGAAAAAGAAAAAATCCTACCTGCATGAAACTAATTACAAAAATTAGAAGTGCCAGCATTTCCAGATGAGAAGGAACCAGTGCAGGAATTCCAGCACCAAGAAAAATCTGAATGTAGTAACGCCACCAAAGAATAACACTAACTATCCAGCAATGGCCCCTAACCAAAATGGAAACTCAGTTATGACAGATAAAAGAATTCAAAGCATGGATTGCAAGCAAGCTCAACAAGATCCAAGACAAGGTTGAAAAATCAACACAAAGAAACTTTGTAAAGCAATCCAGGAAATGAAAGAAAAGACAAACATCTTAAAAAGAAATTAATCATTAATCTAATTCTAAAAATTGTATTTTCAAATTCCTCACGTGAGATTCTAATTCTAATGCTAGAATTAGAATCTCACGTGAGGAATTTGAAAATACAACTGAAAATTTCATCAATATGACTGAACCAAGCAAAAGAAGGAATTTCAGAGCTTAGAAACCAGTCTTTCAAACTAACTCCATCAGACAAAAATAAAGAAAAAAAGAATTTTAAAAAGAACAGTTTTTGAGAAATACGGGATTATGTAAATAAAGTGACAAATCTTACAAATTATTGGCATTCCTGAGAGAAGTGGAGAAAAAGAAAATACCTTGGAAAACATATTTGAGAGAATAATTCACGAAAATTTCCCCAATCTTGCTAGAGAGGTAGACACTTAGATACAAGAAATCCAGAGAACACCTATGAGATACTATACAAAACGAACATCACCAAGACATATAGTCACCAGACTGTCCAAGGTCAATGCTAAAGAAAAAATCTTAAAGACAGCTAGGGAAAAAGGTCAGATCACACACAATGGGAACCCCATTAGTTTAATGGCAAACTTCTCAGCAGAAACTTTACAAGCCAGGAGAGATTAGATGCCAATTTTCAGCATTCTTAAAGAAAAGAAATTCCAGTCAAGAAATTCATATCCCACCAAACTAAGCTTCATAAGCAAAGGAGAAATAAAATCTTTTCCAAACAAGCAAGCCCTAAGGGAATTCACCACCACTAGACCAATCTTAGACAATAACCATAAGAGAGTTCCAAACATGGAAAGGAAAGAACTATACCTGTTACCACAAAAACACACTTAAGCACACAGCCCACAAATCCTACAAAGCAACCACCCAATAGAAACTACAAAGCAACCAGCCAGCAACTTCATAACAGGGTCAAAATCTCATGTCTCAGTATTAACCCGGAATGAAATGGCCTAAATCCCCCCACTTAAAAGACACAGAGTGGCAAATTGGATAAAAAATAAGACCAATCTATCTCCTGTCTTCAGGAGACTCACCTCACATATAATGACAACCATAGGCTGAAAGTAAAGGTTTAGAGAAGATCTGTCACACAAATGCAACACAAAAAAGAGCATAGGTAACTATCCTTATATAATATAAAGCAGACTTTTATAACATCTATAAGTTATATATGATAAGTTTATATATATGTTACATATGGTAAGTTTATATGATATAACTTATATCATATAAAACAGACTTTTCCAGCAAGAGTAAAACAGGACAAAAAAAAGGTAATACATAATTTTTAAAAGGGGGTTCAATTCAACAAGAAGACTTAACTATCCTAAATACATATGCACCCAACATTGGAGCACTCATATTCATCAAACAAGTACTTTTAGACCTACAAAAAAGACTTAGAGAGCAATATAATAAGAGTGGGGGACTTCAACACCCCCACTGACAGCATTAGACAGATCATTGAGGCAGAAAACAAACAAAGAAAATCTGTAGTTAAATGCAACACTTGACCAATTGGACCTAATAGATATGTACAGAATACTCTACCTTCAACCAAAGAATATATATTCTTTGCATCTACACAAGGAACATACTCCAAAGCCAACCACATGCTCAGCTATAAAGCAAGTCACAATAAATTCAAAACAATCGAAATCATACCAATCATACTCTTGGATCACAGTGGAATAAAAATAGAAATCAATACCAAGAAGATCTTTCAAACCCACACAATTACATGGAAATCAAACAACTTGCTTCAAAGTGACTTTGGAGTAAATAATAAAATTAAGGCAGAAATTTTTTACATACTTCAAAATAAATGAAAGCAGAGATGCAACATACCAAAATCTCTGGGACGCAGAAAAAGCAGTGTTAACAGGAGTTTTTAGTGCTAAACACCTACCTTGAAAAATTATAAATCTCAAATTAATGAACTAACCTCAAACCTAGAGGAACTAGAGAAACAAGAATAAACTAACTCCAAAGCTAGCAGAAGAAAAAAATAACTAAAATCAGAGCAGAACTGAAAAAAAATTGAGACCTTAAAAAAAATTGAGACCCAGAAATCCATACAAAGAATCAGCAAAATCAAAAGTTGGTTTTTGAGAGAATACATCAGAGTGATAGACTACTAGCTAGATTATTCAAAGAAAAAAAAAAACAGAGAAGATCCAAATAAGCACAAATAGAAATGATAAAGGCAACATTACAACCAATCCCTTAGAAACACAAAGGATCCTCAGAGACGATTATGAACACCTCTATGCACACAAACTAGAAAGTCTGAAGGAAACAGACAAATTCCTGGAAACACACAATCTGCCAAAATGGAAACAGGAAGAAATTAAAACCCTGAAGAGACCAATATCGAGTTCCAAAATTGAATCAGAAAAACAAACAAACAAACAAAAAAACAAACAAAAAAAAACTACCAACCAAAATAAACCCCAGGCCAGATGGACTCACAGGACTCACAGCCAAATTCTACCAGACATACAAAGAAGAGCTGATACT